TGATAGAATGAAAAGTAATGCCAGAATGATAATTGAAAACTGTTTAATTATTGATTTAACTACGTTAGTATCTAAGGATTATGAATTCATAAATAAACATATCGATCTTACGAAGTTTTTTCTAATATTCAAATTCTACCATGATGGGTAGACGAAATCAATGTAACAAATTGTCAAATATGCAATAATAAACTATTTACATTGTTTACCCGTAAATATTATTGAAATGTGTAGTAATATCTAATATAACGAGTGTCAGTTTTGCAAAAAATTCCACATCTCGGATATTGTACAGCACCTGTTCGAATTTTATACAATGATCAACTGTGAAACAAACAATGATTTCAACAATTTTCATTAAAACTTCTAAAAAACGATGCGAGCTAACGATCTTCATCTTATTTGTATTTTTAAATTGTTCAGATATTGATGTCGTTAGGCAGAGACCTAGAAACGACACTATGCGAAACAGTAATAGAATACGACATGTTCTACATATCATGAACAACGTCATATCGAAAGCAGGCATGTACCAGTCACAGTTAAAAACCGGTTACCCGATAACAGTTAACTATTATCCGTTTTAAAATAAAAAGCGAACGAGTTCGCACGCTTATAAGATTTTAAAGAAAAGAGCTAGCGACCTGTGGTTTTCACCATTCAAAAGAGCAACTCAGGGGCCACAAGTCTACAAGAAAAGAAAAGTTTTCGAAAGTTTTCCCAGGCTAGTTTTAGCGGACGAAAGTTGGGAAAAATAGCTTGTTTTCCGAAAACATTCTTTTTTCTATTTTTCTCGCTAGTCTTGTAGAGTAAGATGCCCTCTTTCCAATGGTTTCTAAGCAATCCCAAAAATTTTGCTTCCTCACCGAGTTATAAGCGTTTCAAAATCGGCTGATTTTTCGGGGACCTTGACTTTTTTGCAGTAAAAAATGTCGACACATAGGCAATCGAGTACGCTGATCATCATGGTGATGTTATTTTTCGGTTTGCAGACGAAAAAAATTGAATTAATTGAGATTTTCAGAAAACCGCATATTTTCTCTTTAGGGGGATTAGGGATCAGCCGATTTTGAAAGGCTTATAACTCGCCGAGGAAGCAAATCAAACAGAAACGCAACACTAATTAGTATTTTCGAATCTTCATTTTATGCTCTATCTATTGCTGGGTCACGCAAACCTCTATCAAGCTTTCAGACAAAATGACACAGAAATTACTGTGAGCAGTTCCACGTTTTTGCTGCATTTTGATGCAATCTCACGGACAAACCTAGGATTGCAAAGAGCTCCGCCACAAATATCTGTGATCTACATGGCTAGTACTTGAATTCCTGAAAACCTCATTGGAGGAAAATGCGATTTGAACAAGAAAATCAAGGTTAAAGTTGAACTGAAGACACATGTATGCTTTTTAGTAAGCTGTAGCTAATTCAAAAATCAAGTGGAATTTTTCTTGAGGTTATTACATGAGGTTATTACATTGAGGTTTTTTCGTGTAATTTGTATTTTTTAAACTGCTGTATACTCATTTCAGAAATTTTATTTGTGCATTTTATAGAGGGAACAATTCTGCATAAAACAGATATAACAAGAATTTTTAAAATCTAGCTGNCTGCATTTTGATGCAATCTCACGGACAAACCTAGGATTGCAAAGAGCTCCGCCACAAATATCTGTGATCTACATGGCTAGTACTTGAATTCCTGAAAACCTCATTGGAGGAAAATGCGATTTGAACAAGAAAATCAAGGTTAAAGTTGAACTGAAGACACATGTATGCTTTTTAGTAAGCTGTAGCTAATTCAAAAATCAAGTGGAATTTTTCTTGAGGTTATTACACGGCCGGACCAGGTAACGGTTTTCTTTTATGTCACAGTCGACATACAAAATCTGACGAAAATAAAACCGCCAATTTTTAGAGCATGCTCGACTACCTATTGAACGCTGGTTAGAATTTTTGTGTTGCGTTTCTTTAATGAGATACTATAGCAGAAAGTGATGGGTGTCTCTGAGCAAAATCTGTCACTATAGACACACCATGTGTTCAAATACTTACGTATGATTCTGTTGTTATTATATTTGTTTTCTTTTTATGTATATCAAAAGTAACAATGTTAACGTATATTTTGAACTATATTTGGCATTATTTTTCTCTTGCTATCTTTATGTAGAGAAGAAATCAAATATAGTCACTACATGTGTCATTCCGTGACGAAAGAACGGTTGAGGTTTAATTTTTCCCTGGCTTCTAGAGCCGGATAAAAGAAAATATCTGATCTAATGCTAACTTTTGATGGTCTATCTAATATAATAATTAGTTTATGAGCGGAGCGTTTTCTTTATTGAAAACAGACCGTCACGGAATGACAAAGTCATAACCGAACTCTTTTGCAAAAGAAATGCTTTTGCCATTTTTTGCCCAAAAGAATTTATGATTGATTTAGTTTGTAGTAGAAATTATGTGCTAATGTATAGACTTCTTTCGGTTGCTTTTATAACTGAAAATCTGATGGCTGTAGTTGTTGAAATTCTTATTTATTTCATTCAACGTTTTCAATTTTTTTTGACTTATCTAGTGTGAAAAAAAACATTATTTTTGTTGTTAGAATAAAAACATGTATATAGAATAATCAGTACTGAATGAAATAAGTTGAGAACACATTGATGTCAAGTTTTCAAGTTAACTGTGTTTAAAACACGAAACAAAAACTCGGTCATTCAAGCATGGAAAAATAATGTAATTCCGTGACGATAGTATTTCGTCTATATTTCGAAAACGAAACATAGATTTGAAATTCTATTTTTTTCCACAGACAACCCAAAGTCTAGGCTATAATTTTTCTATAGATCACATGTCTTCAAACTGTAAGAATGAGCTGAGTTTTGAACATCTTTACACAGCAACGAAAGCAGCATTCCATTTTCTGTCATTTCATGACGGCCGGTATTTTTCTACAAAAAATTATCCATACCACAAAGTAAAATAAAACTTCAGGATATTGTAGAGCTTGATGACCTAGATACATGCAGAAAGTTTGAACTTCCCAGCTGTCACCGTTACAAAGAAAACTAGATTGAAAGAAGACAAAGTGTCATTCCGTGACGTTTGGTCAAGCCGTATACAGCTTTTAGAGCTGATCATGAATATGTAGCTTTTAATTTTTCGAAACATTTCTTTCATGTTGAAACATCGAGAAAACTCGAAAAAGAATGGTGTTCAAAAAGTTAGATTTTTCCACTTGGATTTTTGACCGGAATGTTCAAATTATTTTTTTCTCGTTTTTTAGTGTTGATATTGGTGATATTCGTGATCAGCATGAAAACTGAATCAGAATATGTGCCTTTTACTGAAAAAGCGAATCCACTCAACTTTTGAATTAGCGGCACCTTACACTAAGTCAGTAATCTTAATATTTTTAACTACTCTGTATAAGAAACAAACTACAACAGAAATAAACGTGTGTAACTATTGTAGTTAGGGCTAACTAGAAATTTATTCTTCACTCGATCGGATGCATAATATTACAGAGACAAAGCAATTCCAATCTGTTCAGCCAGTCCAATGACATATTCTTCTTGTAATCGTCTGCCAATAACTTGTACAGATACCGGAGCTCCATGGTAAATATCGGCATCATAATCATTATGTATTTCCGTGTCCAGTGGACTAATGCCCTTGTACGTCGCGTCCTTGACATCTGTTTCCCTGTCTGCAAATGTCACAGGAAGGACAACAGCTGGCCAATCGAGTAGATTAATGACAGTTGTATATCCATAATATTTGAAATCATTGTGTTTGACAGCAGCATGAGGAGCCAGAGGATGAATCCAACCGTCAACGTGACTTATCTCTCGCCAGATAGCCAAATATTCTTGTTGATAGTTATACTTTTTGTTTTGAATATCCCAGACAGCATTTAGTTCGAGCCGTGTTGCTTCAGTACCAAGTAATGTGGCGATGTTGGGTATGGGCGGTTCTCCACTCAATGCCAGTGCGTTTCTCACATCTTCTCCTCCATCGGCGCCATAGATTGATCCGATGAGATCGAATGCATATCCATGTTTATACGGCTGCCACTCGACGACTGTATGACCAGCTTTGCGAAGGGCATCAACGACCAGTCGGATGGCTCGAAGAACGGGTGGGTGAGGCATGATGACGCCATCAAAACCAAGGATTCTACGCGGTAAAAGAGAATTGCTGTTACTATACAAGTTTTTTGAAAGTGTCATCCAACAATAAACTTCGACATCACTTAAGGGTATCCCATCATCTTTTTCCCTCTTGAAAACCAGGTAAGCCAATATCTGATCAGCGTGAGATTTGTACCAGAGACAGAATGTTGAAGAAAAAAATCGATATATTTTTGCCCAAAATTTTCTGACATATCCTTCTATGGATTTTCTGGAAAGCTGTAGTTTTCAGGTTACAGTACGACCCCTCGAAAAAATGATCCGATCGAGGCAAAAACTGTACCCCAGATACCTTAAACCCTATCTCAGGTTCAGTTTTTTTTCATTTTGAAAAATATACTTTCCTTCTAAAGATATTCAAAAAATGAAATCCGGTATAAAAAATCGTTTTTTTACGCTGAAAGTTGAACTCGAAAACGCTTAAAAAAGAAACGAACCTGAGATAGGGTCTGCAGTATCTGTAGTAAACACCTCAGCACGATCGGACCATTTTTTGGAGGGGCCGTAATGTGATCGGATCGGAGGAGCTATCGAAAACACACACAGTGAGAAAAACAGGACGTGAGTGTATACAGGACTCTGTGTTTTAGGACATTTGCGGTGATCTTTATTTCTCCACGAAAACTCACCGTTAAATTCTGAAAGACGTCTCATTTTAAAGAGCACACCAAAAAGTTACATACCTCATAATTTTTTCAAGACAGACCGTGGAGAGGTGGGAGTAGTCTCTGATTATAGCCCAGACTTTCCTCTACATTAGACTATGTACAGCTCAAAAAAGAGGAGGTTATCCTTAAGAAGCATCTAACTCACCCATGTACAGTTGTCACTCCAAACACCTTTTTGCCTGTTTTGCCTTGCTCATATGTCGATTCACGCCAAGGTATTTCGATTACTTTTGGATCATACTTCCATGGCTCTTGTTCCAGTATTGATCTCAGGAAATAGGCCAAATCTCGTGATGTACGAGCCAGTGGACCACACACAGAGGGTACTGTCTCTTGTCCTTCCATGCTATTCGCTAACTTTGCATAAGGCATTCGTCCATGACTCGGCTTCAGTCCCCAAAGATTATTGAAACCAGCTGGTAGACGAATAGAACCTCCAATGTCAGTGCCCACACCCATTGGACTTCCATGAAGTGCAATGAGTACGCCTTCTCCACCACTCGAACCACCGCATGACAGTAATCGATTATATGGATTCAATGTGCGTCCAAAGATGTTGTTCACTGTTTCACCACACATTAGAGTTTGTGGAACACTGGTTTTGACATAGAGAACGGCACCTGTGGCAGTTAAATATGAAAATTAACTCTTTTTACACTTTTTAACGAGTTTTAACACTCGAGTATGCTAAAAGTAAGAAAACACACCTGCTCTTCGTAAACATTCTGTTATGACACTGTCTTCTTTATCCACTTTGCCCAACCAGCTGACATAGCCTATACTAGATTCCATTCCCTTGACACGGAATTGATCTTTGAGTGAGACAGGTACTCCATGTAATGGGCCAACCGTCCGTCCGTTCTTTTTCACATATTCATCAAGTTCTTTTGCTCGTTCGAGAGCGGCATCGAAGAAAATTTCAACGAGACAATTGACAAGTTGATGTGCAATCGTTGCTCGATGACAATACGCTTGACACACTTGAACAGCAGTATATTCGCCTGAGGCAATCTTTGTAGCCAACTCTTCCACCATCAGTTGAGTAATAGCCAATTCTTCATCGCTCAATAAACCACTTGTTTCGGGAAATGAAATGACCGAACGCTGAGAATCGGACGGCAATTGGCTCGCGGAAATTCGCCATTTCTCAGGAATGAGAGAGGCCAATGCCTTGCGTTTCTTTTCTGCAGTTTCTTCCCAGGTCATTGATGAATGAAATGGAAGAAGCTTTTGCCTAAAGGAATTTTACTAGAGTCAACTGGAAGAAAGTGACTGCTATCCCTTAGCAGAAAGATACTACAGTTTCATTCACAAGCATCAACTTTTAAAGATAAAACATGAGTATTTAGGTTCTTTTATCCTCCTCACCGTAACTGAATCGAATTCGACTTCTCTTTAGGCAGTAATGGCACACAAACACGAAATGTACACAGCTATGTGCATATGTAATGATAAGAAAAGAAGGACGAACGCCATAGGTACCCCATTGAAGAGCCTCAACAACGAGTACGAAAGAAAAAGAGTGAAAGGAAATATAAATTTCTGATTAAAATGAGACGCCTTTCAGCTCTACGTGACCTTTCTTTACAAAGTTATAAAATTTACAAGAAAAGCCCTAAATGTTCATTGTCAGCTCAAAGCTACATAACTAAGAAGGAAAAATTAGTTTAAGGCTTTTGTAAATTCTATAACGTTGCAAAGAACGGTCATGAACAGAGGTATTTAAAAGGTGGTAACAAGTTTTTAGGTTTTCAATGGTGAATTTTCACTAAAACTGTCTAAATCATAAAAAATTGATCATGGTCTTGAGCTATTAATTAATTATTATTAATGGCATTTTCATTAATTAACTCATATCTCCGTCAAAAAGGCGCATGGGCCCAAACCAACTTGGGGTTTTTCACTGCTGACTATTCCCTACATGATGAAAATA